GCCTTTATTTCCTGCCTTCCCAGCTAGGATGTGCCCTCCCCTCAGACCCTGCTCCCTCATCCCTGGCAGGGTGCCTGACAAAATGCTGATGCCTGGCAAATTTATGTTACATGAAGGATGGAAGCCAAGATCTCCAGATAAACCACTCTGATGAAGAGGTGGGGGAAGGGAGTTCCAGGCAGAGGGAACAGCGTGGGCAAAGGTGTGGAGCAGAGAGATAGCTTGTGTTTGAAAGGCCCTGGGGGAGGTGGTACATGGCTGGAAGGAGCAGCTGGACAGAGAAGAAGGAAAGAGGGGAAGGAGGAGGGAGGAGAGGAAGAGAGACGGAGAGGTGGGGGTGGAAGAGGAGGAAGGAAAGAGAAGGAGGGATGGGGGCAACAGGACAGGATGTGACTCAGCTGCGCCTTTATGAGATGAGGTATGAAGGATGGAGAGCTTTGACCCAGTGGACAGTTGGAGGTGGCTGGATCTTATTGGAATTTTTTTATGGAGGGGCGGAGGTGGCCGAGGTACCTTTCTGGGAGATCCGTCTGTCTGGCTGGCTGGCTTACAGAGGCTGGGCCTGAGGGACAGGCCTCGCCTCCCAGAGCCTTCTAAGGGCTTTGTGCAGAACATTCCATGGCGGGACCTTCTGGAACAGTCTGTGACGGCTTGGCAGCCCTGTCCCGTCTGCTCCCGGATCACTGCCCCGGCCTCCTCGCAGCCCAGGCTCACCTTCCTCTGTGTCCCTGCCCCCCACGGCAGCTCGAGGCAGTACTTTTTATAGAGCACTTGAAAAAAGTGTTAATAGGTAAATGAAGGGCACATGGCACAGATTCCTAAAGGTACAGGAGGGGATACAGTGAAAGCCTTCCCTTCTCCGCTCCTCCTGGGACCCCTCCTGGACCCACCATTTTCTCCCAGAGGTAGTCTAGCCTATGTAAGCATAAATGGTGACATACTGTTCAAGTTATTAACACGATTCTGCACCTAAACCTAAGGGTATAGAGGCATACCTTAGAGATATTGTGGGTTTGATTCCAGACCATCACTATAAAGGCAGGTGTAATCCTTTTGCTGGTGGAGGGTCTTGCCTTCAATTTGTAACAACAACAGCAACAAAAAAGCAACATCTATGAAGCTCCATAAGATGAGGTATGCCTGTATTCATTAATTGAGTACCTACTATACACCAGGTACTGTTCTAGACACTGGGGATACAGCAGAGAAGAAAACAGACAAAATTCCCTGTCCCCTTGGAGCTGACATTCTAGTAGGGGAGACAGACAGTAGATAAAGAAAATGACAAGTACATTTTAACGTTACATAGTAGGTCAGATGGCACAGTAAGAGCTATTTATAAAACATAATGCTGGAGTATTGATAAAACATAATGCTATTTTTCTGCAGGCTGGTCCGAGAAGGCCCCGATAAAAGGTGACACTTGAGCAAAGACCTGAAGGAGGTAAGGAAGTGAGTCATGTGGTTATCTGGGGGTAAGGGTAGAAACAGCGGAGGGAACAGCAAGTGCAAAGGCCCTGAGGTAGGATTGAATATGACGTGTTCCAGATCCAGGAAGGAGAGCAGTGTGGCTGGAGATGAGTGAGTGAGGGGAGAGTGTGGTGGTTGGTGGTGGAGGCTGGTGAGACACAATCCTGTAGAGCAGCGGTTCTCAACCTTCCTAATGCCGCGACCCCTTAATACAGTTCCTCATGTTGTGGTGACCCCCAACCATAAAATTATTTTCGTTGCTACTCTATAACTGTAATTTTGCTACTGTTATGAATCGTAATGTAAATATCTTTTTGTTTTCCGATGGTCTTAGGCGCCCCCTGTGAAAGGGTCGTTCGACCCCCAAAGGGGTCGCAACCCACAGGTTGAGAACTGCTGCTGTAGAGCCTTGTCCAAAAGTTGGCTTTGGCTTTCTTATCTTGGAAATGTCTCAGTGGTGTGCTGGGGTTGGCTTGTAACAGTCTGTAAGAGCTGATTGCTAAACTTTCTGGAATTTTGCAAGCCAGTTGTTAAACATAGCCATTATTAAAATTTAAATTATATAAACTTACAATTAAATAAATGATATTAAACACAAAGATAAATAAGTAGCCACAATTTATCACTTCCTCTAGAGGTTATTTATGTCTATTGTGTCTGCATGGTAGAAATACTACATAGTGGTGGGCTATTGCATATCTCTGCCAAACTCTGTATTCAGTGGTGTCACGTTAGTGGCTTAAAATAGCCATGGTGGGAGTATTTAAACCACAGACATTGGCAAACGCTACAAATCACCACTGTTTCCTCCCCCAGAGAGCCAGTGGTTAAATATTTACCAACACACCACCATAATGCATAGAGATTTAGCTCATTCCTTTGTAAAGCTGCATAGTATTCCATTGCATGGATGGGCCATGAGATATTTGCTGGTGTTAAAGAGAAGACCACAGGACCAAAATGGCATCACTTGTGCTAAAAGCCCACGGTACCAAACCTAGATTTAATATCTGGCCTCATTGCTGTTTCAACCTCTCCCAGAAACATCTTAATCAACCAGTCTAGAATTTTCTGGTTAACACCAATGAGGTAATCTGTCAACTTGTCCTGCGGGTCCACTCCCCATGCCTTCCCCCATAACAAAGAAGCAATCTGCATGATAAAAACCCTTGCCATTCCCTGCCCTCCAAAAGATGTCCTGACCTAAAAATAATCCTTTTTTTTTCTTTTGTTAATAGTTCCCTTGCCCATCATCTTCCTATGAAACCTCCCATTTTGTACAACCCCTCAGAGCACCCTTCTAGTCGCTAGGTGGGATGCTGCCTCATTCATGAATCACTTAATAAAGCCAATTAGATCCTAACATTTACTCGATTGAATTTTGTTCTTTAACACTGGTCTCTTCCTGATGGACCCTTAGCTCGCTCCCAGTCTTTTGCTAACACAAACAGTGCTTTGGTGATTTTTCTCTGTGTGAATAAACCCCACAAACAAGAAGCACTGTGTCAAAGGGCGTGGGAGTTCTAACGTTAATGCCTGTTGCCTCATGTCTTTCCATGGAGGCCATACCAATTTCCACACCCCCTCAGCAAATGGGTCAGAGTGCAGAGGCTTCATCTAAACATGCAAACTTGATTGTGTTACTCTGCTACTTAAACCCGTGGATGGCTCCTGCTGCTCCCAGGTCAAAGCCTCAGGATCCTTCCAAGACCTAGGCCCTCCATAGTTGGTGCTTGCCCCTTTGTCTTGCAACCAGGAGGTTGCACCATGACCTCACCATGGCCTCTCAGAAAGTCCACATTATGGCCACCTTGATAACCTGCCGTCTGTCCCCTGAAATGGGCTATGTGAAAACACCCACTCTTGTTTGTTCACACATTTCCCCTCTCCTGTAGCTTACTTCCCAGCGCCTTATCACCAGGCTAACTCCCACTCCATCAGTTCAGCCCCTTTCTGTTTCAAGAGGCTGAAGTTTCCACTGTAACTGTTGGCAGCAAAGTCAGGAACAGATTGGCTCATCTGAATGAAAAAAATCATCAGGTTGGCTGGCTTCAGGCATAGCTGGCTCCAGGAGCTTAAACCATTCATGAAGCCAGTCTTGGCCTGTCAGTCTGTTCTCTTTCCTGTTCGCACCCTTCGGCAGCCCCTGCCTATAGAAATCCCCCTCATTATCACAGGAGACAAAGACCTGGAGGTGGAAGGAAGTTTCCAGGCAGAGAGAACAGCCCACAGTGTTCCAGAACTGGTGCTAGAACCCAGATCCTAGCTAGGCCTAGGAAACAACCAGTAGATACATATCTTGCAGGCCTCACTCCAAGGAGAGGACAACTTCTTGCCTATTTGCTAGATTCTTCAGTTGAGGAGTAAGGTAGCAATAGCTGCTTGGCCTCTAAAGATAGAAATTAGGGGTTCAAATCCTGGCTCTGATCTTAGGGGTGATGAAAAAGGTTTGGAACTTGATTATGGTGATGGTTACACAACACTGAGAATGTGCTCAATGCCACTGAATTGTACACTTTGAAATGTTTAAATGGTCAACATCATGCTATGTTTTTTTAAAATATCATGTTATGTTTATTTTATCACAGTACAAAAATAACATGCTAAAAAATAATAATAAAATCAAATAAAAATAAAGGAGAAGGAAAAGAATTCTGGCTCTACCACTTACCAGCTGTGCAAACTTGGGCAGGTCAGTGGACCTCTCTGTCCCTGTTTACTGGACTGTAAAATGAAGATAATAATAGGACCCCCTCACTGGCTATTGAGAGGCTCAAAGAGGTTAATATACGTAGAGTTCTGGGAGCAGCATCCAGGAATGTTCAATAAATGTTAGTTACTATAATTAAATCAAAATATTGGGTGGGTTGCTAAGTGAAAGTAGCCAGATGTAAAAGGTCACTGTCTTGGTTCAGTCAGGCTGCTTTAACAAAATGCCACAGGCTGGGGGTTTATAAGCAACAGAAATTGATTGCTCACAGTTCTGGAGGCTGGAAGTCAAAGATCAGGGTGCCACCATGGTCAGGTTAGGGCCCTCTTCTACATTGCAGGTTTCTCATTGTGTCCTCTGGTGGCAGAAGGTGGCAGAAGGTGAGGGATCTTTCAGAAGCCTCTTTTTAAGAAAAAAAAAAAGAAGATTTTAGGGCTGGCCGAGTGGCGTATTGGTTAAGAGCTAGCTTGGAATGCCAGCTCTGAGCAGCAGGGCCCCGGTTCGGATTCCACATGGGGGCCAGTGACACTGCCCTCTACAGCTCGTGAACAGCTCGACCTGGAGCTGGGTTGCTGTGAGTCACCGGTGACGGTGTAGGCTGCAGCTCCTGCTGCAGTGGGCTGCCATAAGCTACCATGTGTGGCCGGCAGCCAGCGTGAGCGGCTGGCAGCCGGTGTGAGCTGCCAAGAGTCTCCGTGAGAGGCTATTCAGAGGCCGGCAACCGATCTGCCTCACCCAGGAAGAGTGCAATGATAATACCAACATGGGCCAGTGAAGCAACGTCCTCCACAACTAGACTGAGGAACAAAACGACAATAACTTGTCTGTTCCCCTTCCCCCGATTCCCCAGAGCTGTTTCCCTCCCCCAATTCCCCAATAAAATCTTAAAAAAAAAAAAGACTTTATTGGGGAATTGGGAAAAGGAACAGTGTTAGGGAATTGGGGAAGGGAAACATTGTGTTTTTCCAGGACCCATCAGCTCCAAGTCCAGTTGCCACTTTCAATTTAGTTGCAGGGGAGGCGCGTAGTCTACCATCCCATGCAGGAATTGAACCAGCAACCTTGTTGTTAAGAGTATGTGCTCTAACCAACTGAGCCACCCGTCAGCAGCTCACGGCTCCTCAGCTCAAGGTGCCATGTTCAATCTTAGTTGTGGTGGTGGTGGTGTTGGGGGGAGTGCAGCCTATCATCCCATGCAGGAGTCGAACCAGCAACCTTGTTGTTAGGAGCATGTGTTCTCACCAGTTGAGCCATCTGGCCTCCCATTGGCAGCTCAGTGGCAGCTCAGCTCAGACACAGCTCACTGGCCCATGTGGGAATCGAACCGGCAACCCTGTTGCTCAGAACTCCAGCCAACTGAGTCACCCGGCCCGCCCAGGAGACTCTTTTATAAGGGTATGAATCCCATACATAAGGGCTCTACCCTCATGACCTAATCACCTCCCAAAGGCCTTACCTCCTAATAGCATCACCTTGGGGATTAGGTTTCAACATATGAGTTGTGGGGGACACAAACATTCAGACCACCATTTATATGAAATGTCCAGAAGAGGTAAATCCATAGAGACAGAAAGAAGAGTAGTAGCTGCCAGGATCTGGGGGGAGGGGATGGGGAGTGACTGCTTTACAGGTACGGGGTTTCCTTTGGGGGGTGATAAAAATTATTTGAAATGAGGTAGAAGTGATGGCTGCATGCCATTGTGTATGTACTAAATGCCAATGAATTGTATGCTTTGAAATGGTTAATTTTTATGTTATGTGAATTTCATCTAAAAAAATTTTAATTGGTACTTTGAAAAAAAATTAGGTGGAATATATCTTGCTGGCCTTCTCAGGCTGTGAAGCCTTATGGTTTTGTTGTTCTCAACGCTTTGTGCCCTTCTCCCTTCCAGGCCCGACACCTCACTCCTACCCAGGGCCTTAGCTGGCATAGCTCACAGCTCCTCTCCTGGCTATTTCAATAATTTGCTGTGAGACTTTGGGACTCAGTTTCCTTGTTTGTACCAAGTGGGGGTTGGACCCACTGGTTTCTACTGTGCCCTCATATATCATGAGCCTGCTTTACTTGCAGCCCCCTTCACCCTACCTCTCTCATCCCAAAATGCTGACCCTCTCCCACAGCTCTGGCAGGACTTTGCCCAGGGCCTATTAATCAACACTTAGCCTGTCCTCTCATCTCCTGCTGAAGTACAAAATCTAATCCCTCTCAAGGCCAGGCCACTCACTAGCCCCCACTCCCCTCAGAAAGTGAGGCAGTGGCTCTTTGGACCTTTCAACTGGGATCCAGCCAGCTGCATCCAGTGAGGGGAATTACTGTGTATTCAAGGACTCCTGTAGCCCCAGGCAGCCTGACACGTCAATGTCCCCAGACTTACAGTGTTCTGGTCCTTCAGGCCAGCCGCCCTCAAAGGTGACGCCTACATAGTCACATGAACAGGGCTGTGTGGTTATCCACAGTCAGAATTAGCTCCTGACAGGGCCTCACCCCTCAGACCCCCAGGGCAGGTCCGTGTCTCCTCAGATCCCCCAGTGTGTGGCCTGGCTCATCTCTAACGGGGCTCTTTAAAGAAAAAAGGTAATCATCACAGTAATAAAAGCCCCTCCAATGTTCTGATTTCCTATCACATTGCCCAGGCCTGTACTAAGGGCTGTCACCACGCTGTTTTGTTCAATCCTTCTGCCTCCGCATGGCTGAATATCACTTTCATCTTGTTTCAGATGTGAGGACGTGAGGCTCAGAGGTGGCACCAGTTGCCCAAGGTCAGCTAAGAAGTGGGAGGACCCATCTCTCTGCCCCAACCATCCCCCATGCCCTTGACCATTTCAGTATCCTATCCTGCCTCCCTGGAAGTATCAAATGTCTTTTTATCCAGGTCACCCGAGCCCCAGGACACCTGTGGGGTCCCAGGGCAGGGCCAGGAGTGGTGGCAGGGGCAGCTGCCCTGGGAAACAGCTCCTGTGACCTTGGCTAGATCTGTGGGGAGGTGGTGGAGAGGGCAGTGCCTGACACACCCCCTCTGGGCCTCCAGGCCCAGAAACCCGAGTTACTGTTGGACCACAAGCCCCAGGGGCCTGACAGCCTGCAGCTGGGGGAGGCGGGGCAGAGCAGCCCAGACAAGCCAGCTCTTAAATAAATAATTAGAAAGGTTGGAAGGGACGCTCTAGGGCCCGTCTCAAGTCCCCCAGGCTGCAGCTTCCCAGCCAGGCCAGAATGCATGAAGCCCCCATGCCTCCTCGCCCTGATGGACCCAAGGGTTCAGCTTCCTCTTTTTTTTTCTTGTTTCTAAAAAAGCCAGCCCACATTCTCAGGGCCCCTACTGTATTCCTGGCTCCTGGGCAGGGAGATGTTGGGGGTACAGTGGTGGTTGAGACAGTCCCCAACCCCAGCCCAATGGTGGGGACAGACCCATCCCCAGACAGTGTCCACTCAGAGTGGGTAGGGCTGTGAAGGGGGAGTCCAGGGGGCTGGAGGAGGCTGGAGGGACCCCTGACCCAGCCTGGGGATCTGGAGGACTCAGGGGATCCTGAGTGAAAATCTGAAGATCTTAGTCAAGTGAGAAGAAAGGTGTGTGAGAAAAAGAGGTGAGGAGGCAGGACTGAAACGGTCAGGATGGGGTAAACCGTGCAAAAATTTTCAAACTGTATTGAATTTGAGACACTGATACTCAAGAGAATGTGTATTTGACTTGCAACATAGTATTGTGTATGTACAGGTGTACATTAAATTAAATTAAATTAAAATTTCACGAAGTAATAATTCTTTAACAATATATTCTGATATTTCATACTTTTTAAAATTAACTGCTTGAGGTTTGCTAATTTAGTTAATGCTTTATTAATAGGTTGACACCTGAAGTTTGAAAATATAGATGTATAGACCATGCTAAGAACCCCTGGACGCCAATCAAGGAGTGGAATTCTAGAAATAGTCTTTAGGGCTGTTCACCAATCTGCCCATTCTCCTCTCCTTCTGGGCAGGTGGTAGGATTTTACTTTCCTCCCTCTTGAAGTTAGGCTTTGGAGCCCAGGAATCGGCATTTTAACATGCAAAGGGGGCTATGAGACGTGGGAAGTTTAAGAAACAGTGAACGTAGGTGATAAACTCCATGAGGAGAACTGTGTTAAATGAATAATTTTAACTTCAGCTTCTTTATTTCTATCTCCCTAGTCTGGCTCCTGCCCACTGCTCCAGCCTCATTTCTCGGCAGCTTCCACTCCGACCAAATGGAATTATTCTTGGTTTCCTAAATTTCTTACCGCCAGGCCTTTGTTCTTGCTGTATCCTCTGCCTGTACCCTTTCCCTCCACCCTTCACTGGTCAGCTGTGACATCCTTCAAAATGCAGCTCAGATGCCTTTTCTAGGAAGCCCTCACTGGCCCTATTTCCCAGGCTGGGCTTCCCCCCTGGGCTCCTCTATCCCAGCCCTGCTCAGTGTCTCCCCCACTGGAGTATGAGCCCAGGAGGACAGGAGTTAGGCCTGTTTCAGCCATAGGATGGCACACAGTAGGTGCTCAGAAAAAGTTTGCTGAATGCATGAATGCAAATCCGAGAGAGGAGGGGAGGTTGTATCCTCTGGGACGTCCTGATTACAAGTCTGATGGAGGAGGCTGAAGCCCTGCTGCTGTGAGACACCTGGTCCTCCCAGGACAGACACCCTTTGGAACAACACCGATTTCACAAGTGGGAAACTGAGGCCAAGGAGGGCCTCCCTGCTCTGTGAGGTCGAGGTTTCCTATCACTCAGCCCAGCCTCCTCCTGGCTCCTCTCAATGTCTTCTTGGAGCCGCAGGCCTTTTTTTTCCCCCCACAGTGATGAAATCTGAATCTGGGTAGGAGGTTTGGCTGAGTGGGAGGTAAAGCTGGTTGAAACTAGTCGGTGTTTTCCTCTCCAAGCCTGGGGAGGGCAGGGGGGTGGGACATTCCTGGCCAATCCTGGACCAAACAAACCCTCCAACTTTCCCCTCTTGGCCCACACCCACCTTGCATTCCCGGAAGGTTCTGGGATTCCAGAGTCCCCGAGTTCTGCAGCCTCCTCCCTCCATCTTGCCTCCTGTGGGCACTCCTGTGCTTCGAGTGGGTGGGCAGTGACTAGGCTAAGCCTGGCTTATCCCTATGTTGCCTAACTGGCCTATATGCCATTTTTCCATGCCCTGAGGGCCCTGATTAACAGGAGGGCTGCCAGAAGCTTCCCCGCCCCCACCCTGTCCACCTGCTCTGCAGCATCTGAAACCCAGCTGCCGGCTCCCACCTGGGGCCTCTCAGGCTCCCTTTGCCCAGTGGCCCCTGGGAACGGAACACTCCTCAGGGTGAGCACCAGCATGTGAATCTGTGTTTGAGGGAACGCATGGAAGAGGTTTTTTTGGTTTTTTTTTTTTACTTTTGCCTTAGATTTAATGTTGATCTCAAAAGGCCACCATGGCTGAAAGTGCCAAGAGGTTGTGGTTTGCCAGGAAACAACGAAAGCGCTTTATACACATGAACTTGGTTCACCCCGCCACAATCTCTGAGGCAGATGCTACTGTTATCCCCATTCCACAGCTGAGCAAACTTAGGCTGGAGAACTGAGTGGCTTGACCGAAGTCATTCAGCTACATGCTAAGCAGTGAGGCACGGTGCCCATGTTGAGCTGCAAAGCTATGGCTTTCCTTTCTGAAAGCAGCTTCTACAAATTCTTGCACTTTTTAGAATTTTTAGAATTTATTTTTAATTATAGTTGACATACAAAGTTATATTAGTTTCAGGTGTACAACATAGTGATTCAACATTTATATACCTTACGAAGTGATCATCATAATAAGTCTAGTAACCATCTGTCACTGTACATCGTTATTACAGTGTTATTGACTCTATTCTCTGTGCTGTACTTTATATCCTCGTGACTTATTCTGGAACTGTAAGTTTGTATTTCTTAATCCCCTTCCCCTTTTCCACTCAACCTCCCACCCCCATTGCCTCTGGTGACCATTTGTTTGTTCTCTGTAGAATCAATGAATTTGCAATAGGCTTTAATATATTTGTTTGTTTTCCCCACAGCCTGTCCTATACACCTTCTCCTGCACCTGCATTTTCCTCCTTAACAATATTTCTTGACCACCTGATTTATTGCTGAAGATGGCCCTCCCCCCAGTTCCCCACCTGTCTCCATCTGTTTGATATCTCTCAGCGTGCCATTCTGTGGATATGGTTTGTTAAATGATTGAAGGAATGTATTACTGAATACACAGATGCCAGGCTGAAGGGTTTGGACTTCATCCAGAGGGAAGCCACTGGGGCCACTCAGAGGGTAGGGTGACTAGGTTAGATCTGTGCGTGGAAACCTTCCAGGCTCTTCTCAACTCAAGGGCTTTGCATGTACTATTCTCTTTGCCTGGGATACTTTTTCCCTTGGCTTTCTACCCCAGCTGTGATGCCTCCTCCTTCAGGAAGCCCTCCCTCACCCCCAGGCCAAGTCAAGCACCCCTTCTGGACTCCCCCATCCCAGCCCTGCGCACTCGTCATTGTCTGAGGATAGGTCTGTCTACCCCTCTGGACTGTGATTCCTCGGAGAACAGGGTTGGGACTGTTTTGATTATTGCTGTGTCCCTAGTACCACCGATCACAGGTCCCAACAACATGCTCAGAATAAATGAAGGTCTCTTTAAGGAAATGTCTCTGCTTGAGGAAGAGCCAAGTGCAGGGGTAGCCGTGTTGTCCGATAGGGGTTGAGGGCACAGGCTGGAGTCAGACACACCTGAGTTCAAATCCCTTGTCCAGGTAGGGGATTTAGACCACAAAAAACCTCTTTACCCGTAACTGTGTCCAAATCAGTAAACTGGGATAGTGATATCTCAGTTTTAAGGATTAGTGGAACTAATGTCTGATAGCACTACAAACAGGGCATTTCTTGCTGCTGCCTCACGGCTTTGTACCTGCTCTTCCCTTTCACTAGAATGTTCTTCCCATGTTATCCCAGTGAGCTCCTTCTTGTCAGTCAGATCTCATTAGAAATATCACCTCCTCAGAGTGGCCCATCATGACCATTCCACCTCTCTCTGTCGTAAAATGCTTTAACTTTCTCCAGCTCTTATCCCTACCTTGGCAGCCCAAGTGTATTTCCTCGTCTCCTCTCACTAAAACCCGGCAAGGAGTTTTGTCTGTTTTTTTTTTTTCTTTTCAATTTTTTTTTCACTGCTGAATCCCTAGCCCTTTGAACAGTGCTTGGCCCTTAGTAAGGGCTTAAGGCGTATCGGTAGAATGAATAGAGTGCTCAGGAATTGTCCCCTCGTGTTTTGTATTGAAGGTCACTGTGTGCATGATTCAATTTATATTCATGTTGACTCTAGGATGTATGAGGAAACTGATGCTCAGCTGGGGAGTGTCAGAGTCAGGATTCGAGCCCACGTCTGTGTGGCTTTAGTGTCCACACTCTCAGTGTCTAGCACAGAACCGAGCTCACTGGAGTTTAACTCAAGTTTGTTGAATGAATATGATGTCAGACTAAAAGGGCAGGATGGAGGACAGGAGCTCTTAGACATAGGTGTCAAGGCAGGGATTCTGGATTCTGAGACACACAGGAAGGAGGTCCAGTAGACCCATGTGCCTGGGCAAATTCTCAGCTTGGCCTGACCCCAATGCCACAGATCCTGCAGGATGTCACCAGACACTCTCAAAGCTCCTTCCCAAGCAGGTCTAATCTAGGATTGGCATTGACCAGCAGGCAGAGCTCCCCACCAGGGTCCAGTAGCATATGGAGCTGGTCTGGGCCCAAACCATGTTCTTCAATAATAACAACAACAACAATAGTAGTACTAACTAACACTATTAAGGGCTAACCTGTGCCCTTTCTAAATGCTTTGAACATATGATCTCATTTGAAACTCACGGCACCCAAGGAGGTACGCTCTATTATTCTTCTTCCCATTGTACAGATATGGAGACTGAGGCTCATAGAGGTTGTGACTTTCCTGAGGCCCCACAGCTGCTATAGGAGGAAGCTTCTGAGGCTATCACCATCTATAGTCTTTGAGCAAGTGTGAATTCCTGAAATGTTACCAGAGAACAGGACGGATGGGGAAGGAATTGGATTTCAACATTGCCAGGAGCAGAGTCATGATGAGGTCACTGGAAATGACCCAAATGACCACCAAGAGGAAATTTAGGAAAGCGACGAGTGGGTACGGTCAGGGCCTTGGGAGGCAGGCATGCAACTTCCAGCTTCCCCAGGTGTGGCCTCAAAGTGCGTGACGTCCTCTGACCATAAGCCCCAGTTTTGCCCATCTGGAGAATGGGTATAAGTGGGACCAAACTCATCAAGCAATTATGAAAATCCCAGGGAAATCAGGTATATGCATTTGTCAAAAATCAGCAAATATCACTTAAGATTTGTGCATTTTCTTGTATGTAAATTTTACCTTAAAAGAAAAAAAAAGACTGCCTGCAAATATTGAACTCTGATTAATAAATGCACAACTGAAGTGTTTAGAGGGAAAGTACTCTACTTGTATATCTGCAAGTTACTTTGTCATGCATCAAAAAAAGGTGAACGGAAAGATGGATAGAGAGGTAAATGGATAGAAAGAAATATAGAAATATGGTGAAATAATTGTGTACTCTAGGTGGTAAGTATATGAGTGTTTGCTGTAAAAATCCTTTAAACTTTTTGTATGTTTGAAGACTTTCATAATAAAATATGGCGGAAAATATATGGTGAAAACATTCGTAAAATCATTAGCACAGCATTAAATTGAAATAATTTTTAATGGGTGAATTGTAAATTGTGTACCTAGGGGGAAGTGGATTACAATCCTAATACATAGTAACTGCCATTAATTGATAAGTGTGGGGCTCTGACTGGGAACATTTTAAAAATTATTCACATTATTAAACAAATAATTCCATCTCATTTAAATCTTATATCAATCATATGGGTGATGTGCATTTTCAAGGGGTGATAAAAGACCGAATTTAGGGCGGAAGAGGAGTTCCAGGAGGAGTTGATTTGAAAATGAGCCACCATGGCTGGCTGAGTGACTCAGTTGGTTAAGAGCTCGCTCAAGAGTGTGAGCTCTGAGCAACAGCGGTTGGAGTCCTGGCCCGAGGTGAGCTGCTGCTGAGCTGCCAACAGGTGACAGGATGGCTCAGCTAAAAATAAAAATAAAAATAAAAATAAAATAACATAAAATAAAATGAGCCACCAGACGTTCAGCTGCACTTTTTAGAGATCCGCGCGAGCGGGTAACCGTTGTGGTTTAACTGCACCAACCCACAGCCCACAGCCCAACTCCTTTAGCGGGAAAAAAGAGTCCTTTCAACGCACGCCACCTTTGGGCCGGGTCCCCACCTAAGCCCCGCCCCTGGATATGACAATTTTTATTCTGCCTTCTAAGGGGATTTGGCCCAATTACCGCCTCACCTCCACCCCTAGCTCTCAAAGGGAGCTCTGAACGCGCTGCAGCCAATCAGCACCCTCAAATCGGTCCCCGCCTTCTCAAGCCTCGCCCGTTTTTAATCCTGGCAGCTTCCGCCCCACGGGTTTAGAGCCACGCGGCGCTCCTCCGAGGGTACCTCCTGGATACCGGACCACCGCCTTCCGCATCCAGGGACCAGGGGCTCCCCTCCTGGACCCAAGAGCCTGGTTCCGCTCTTCCCGGAGCTCTGTCTCCTGGTCCCCAGACTCAGGCTCTCGAGTCTTCAGCACCCAGGCACCCCGGGTCCCCGCCTCCCGGATCCAGGCATCCCGGATCTGCGCCACTGGGATCTCGCCTCTTGAAGACCGTGGCCACGTGGGCGCCGTCAGCCTTCCGGAGTCAAGGACCCCAGGGCCCAGCTTAAGAAACTCCTGTATTCCCACCCCCAAGGCCAAGAAACCCAGGCGCTCCCAACTCCCAGCTTTTGGGCTCTGGACACAGCTTGGAAGAGTAGAGGAGCCCCAGCGCCCAGCCCAAGGATCTCCAACACTCCAGTTTCCAAGAGTCAAGGAACTTAGGCGCTGTGAACACACACTCCAGGGAGCCCTCAAAGTTCTAGCCTCCAGACTCCGTTACTCAACTTTCAATTCTAAGGAACATCTGCTTCCAGGGAAGGAGCCCTAAGCGCTCCCAGTTTCTAGGCGCAAAGGAACCCCGGGGCGTTCATCATGGTGGCCGATCCGCCTAAGGGAAACCCCAAGGGGTTGGCGGCGGCCGAGTCCACCGCGAACGGTGTTCCGGCATTGGTCCCCATAGAGGACCCAGGAGCGTCAGGAGGCGGCTGCTGCAGCTCCCGGGACCAGGTGCGCCGCTGCCTTCGCGCCAACCTGCTGGTGCTGCTGACGGTGGTGGCTGTTGTGGCGGGCGTGGCGCTGGGGCTGGGGGTGGCGGGGGCCGGAGGCGCGGAAGCGCTGGGCCCCGCGCGCCTGGCGGCCTTCGCCTTTCCCGGCGAGCTGCTGCTGCGCCTGCTGCGGATGATCATCTTGCCATTGGTGGTGTGCAGCCTGATCGGCGGCGCTGCCAGCCTAGACCCGAGCGCGCTCGGCCGCCTGGGTGCCTGGGCACTGCTCTTTTTCCTGGTCACCACACTGCTAGCGTCCGCACTCGGCGTGGGCTTGGCGCTGGCACTGCAGCCCGGCGCCGCCCTCGCCAACATCGACTCCTCCGTCGGGGCCACCGACGCTTTGAAAGAGTCCCCCAGCAAGGAGGTGCTGGATTCCTTCCTGGATCTTGTGAGGTCAGACACCGCCCGCCCCGTGGAGTGTTGGGGGTGGGAGGGCACTTCAGCCACTTGGGGAGGGTACTGCGTGTTAGGGATGGCTGGGATGGCCACGTGGACAGGAGAGGAGCTTTGGGTCCTCCAGAGTCAGGACATCCCCAGGGTCTCAGGAAAACTGGACGTGATGGTGGGGGTAGCACTGGCCCCTCAAGGATCAGGGTACAGAGGGTGAGGACAGATTCCTAGGGAAGGATGCTTCTAAATGTGGGGGGCCTGATGACATAAGGGGGACCTAATATAAGGGTGATAAGCAAGGAAGTCTTATAGAGAAAGGAGAAAGTAATGCTTGGGGGACTTAAGAAGGGCTCTCCTGTGAGGGGGACAGGATCTGCAGGGTTTGGAAGGGGATCTTTGGGCGGCCAAAGGCTCCGGGATGGGCCTCTGGATAAAGGTTTGAGTCCAGGGTCTGGGTAAAAGATTTGGGGCCGAAGGAGCCTGTGGAGGATCTGAGGAGATCCGAGTGACCCCCACCAGATCTCCTTCTCAGTCCCAGGGCTCCCCACACTACATGTCACCCAGACAGCCAAGTTTTGGTTTTTTATCTTAATCTGTCTGCCTTCCCCACCTTCCCCCTTTATGTTCCTGGCGAGTCCTGTCACCTCAGCCACTTTCCATTCAATTTCCTCACTCTGTGCCCAGAAAGGGGCCACTTAGAAAGCAGCAGATTCTCTTCCTTCCGGCCTCTGCCCACCCCCTTCCACTCCCCAAGATGGCTTCTCCCACTTTTAAGCAGGACAGGCTGCTGGGTCCACATGGCCTTTGGGGCCTAGTGATTCAGTGTCCCTGGGTTGGTTGGGACTTCCTAGAAGTAGTGGAGGAAAATGATGAGTCACAGAACTGGGTTACTCCAGCTTCTTGGGGCCTCAGTGCAGTCTGAGATGGGAAATTTCCGGCAAAAGTTGCAGTGGGTGGGCCCCTCCTG